TGTTAGGCTACAAGCCCCAAAGTTACAGTCATACAGTCACAAGTGGGGGGATATGGGTGATGAGGAGTGATGAGAAGATTTAACCGTCATAGTAGTGCAGACTTTGTAAATAGTTGGACAGTTTTGAGGGAATTATTTGTTTAGCAGAGTGGTGGCGTTCAGGGAAAAAACTCCCCCTGTGTCTAGTTGTTCTGGTGTGCAGTCCTCTATAGCGTCATTTTGAGGGTAGGAGTTGAAACAGTTTATGTCTGGGATGTGAGGGGTCTATAGATATTTTCACAGCCCTCCTTTGACTCGTGCAGTATACAGTTTTGATCTACCAACCTTTAGATCAGGTCTGCCTTTGCTCAAGTGTTGCCACGTGACCCTGTGCAAGTTAAATAGTTAAATTTATGGCTATTTGAGCAGAGTTTGAGTGTGGTTTTAAAAGGTATGGAAATAATTCACACACGCCCCCAGCAGCCTCTTGCTCCGATTTCCTACGTTAAAACCCTGAGATATGTTGACAATTACTGTATGTTATACATCAAACACATTCTTGGACCGTAGAAGAGGTAAAATAAAATCTAGCCAAGTCCTCCCTCAAGTCAAACTCATCTCATGGTAGCTAACAGGATATGAACAAGTTGTTTTCTTGGCTATGATACAAAAGCAATTTGCCATTGCTGTCATTTACGTTGTTTTGCATCTTATTAGTTTTTCTTCTGGGATGAGTGTTTTTTTTAAAAAAATCCTGGTCCCCATCCAAGGACTGGCCCTCTTCAGTGGCTGTGAGGTCAGCCAAGGGCAGCCCCTGAGCTAGGCTCCTTTCTCTCAGGCTTAAATTAATCCCATGACCTTCCATCAAAATGTGGATTTAATGATTTCCCTTTTAGGTCACGTTCAGCTTTTCCAAATAAGCCCCGGAGCCCTTTGAGCCTCCTGAAAACATCGTAAGGAGCTGCGAACTGCAAGCCTCCCTCATAAGCCGGTCATGGCTGCCTCTGCCAGGGGGGCTGGGACTGGGGGGGGGGGGGGGGGGCTGGGATGAGGGGTGGGGGGGAGGTTGGTTGGTGTTCATTATTGCAACATTTCCTGGTTGAATTCTCCATCCACCCCATCAGTTTGTTATTCTTTTTTTTTTTCATTAATACTTAGAACAATTTCCAGCCTTTCCTGTTATGAATAACCTTTTCCTGGCAGCTGGCTTTTTTAAAAAAATAAATAAATGGCCAGTATGATTTTTAAAACCCAGAAATACAATTTGTCCTCAACGTTTTTGAGCCCCCAACATTTCTGTGGCTCGGCGAGACAGCGGTTAAGGATGCTTTGCCCCATTTTACCGCCTGTCTTGACACCGTTGTTAAGCAGATCGCTGCAGATCTTGAATGAATCACACACAGTGGTTATAATTGAATCCGGCTTCCCTGTCGACTTGGCTTGTTGGAACTTCGCCAAAAGGGGATCCCGTGATCCTCCGGGGCATTGTGACCCTCATAAGTATGAACCCGTTGCCTAGCGTCCGAATTTTGATCACATGACCACGGTTTTGATGCTGCGACAGTCGTCAATTGTGAAATATGGTCCTAAGTCACTTTTTGTGCTGCTGTAGCTTTGAATGATCCCTAGACAAAATGCGTACTGTTCAAAATAGTTGAAAACATGAACGGGGAAAAGGACAAAAGGAGCCAGTTATTTCTACATGCTTTTTCTATCTTATCATTACCTTTATTGTCAGAGTACGGCATGTGTACAATGAGATTGGCTGTCTTCATGTTTGTGGGTTCATATGGATGGGACCCTCAGTTTCCACCCCCCACTTGTCCTGTTGTGTGTGACCCACATGGGTTCTCCAGCCTTTGGCACACAACGGAGCTCAAAGAAGCTGCTGGCCATTGCCAAAACCATCACCCTGGATGGTTGAGAATCTCCATAGGCATCTCTCATGGCTCATAAAAAAAAAGGAAAACTACAATAACCCCAGTAATGCAATTGGCCCAAAACTAACCATAGGAAAATGGCAATGGCGCCATTGGAACTAATCCAGGAGAGAAGCAACTTAAGGGGGAAACGTCCTGAATTGAGGACAATGAAACGGTGGAACAGCTTTGCCTTCAGAAGTTGTGGATGCTTCAACACTGGAGGTTTTTAAAAAGAGACTGGACAGCCACTTATTTGAACTAGTATAGGTTCGTGATGGCGAACCAGGTGGCATGCGAGCCCTAGCCAAACTTACCTGCACTGCGCATGCGCGCACCTCCCAGCTGATTTTTGGCCTGCTTGAGGCCACTTTTGCCTCCCCGGAGGCTCGAGGTCCTTCCCGAAATACCGGAAGTGTTGAAATGGGCCTGTTTTTCAGCCTCCCGAGGCTGCAGAGGATTCCCTCGAGCCTCCAGGAGGGCGAAAACGGTCTCAAAAAAACGGGCCAAAAATCAGCTGGGAGGCGTGCGCATTTGCAGTGGAGATAAGGGGGCGGGGTGGGGGTGCTGTACGTGCATGCGCAGGGGGCAAGGCGCATTGCATTGTGGTGTCCTGGCTATCGCACGTGCATGCGCTTTTGGCACACCGCAACAAAAAGGTTTGCCATCACTGGTATAGGTTCTCCTGCTTGAGCAGGGGGCTGGACTAGAAGACCTCCAAGGTCCCTTCCAGCTCTATTCTGATTGATTGATTGATTGATTGATTGCAGATCTGAGGATCTGCCTCTGAGCCATCCACCTCAAGAAAGGCCCAGCTTCTGAAATCATCGTTTCCCAGCCTCGGTGTCGGTGGAGTTGGCTTCGCTCTGCCTTTGCAGGCAGAACGTCTTGGCTGGCATTGTCCCAAAATACGGGTGTCAGCCTTGGAAGCTCTTTTTTACTTGGAAGTTTAGAGGCTGCCACATTCAGTGCCTGGATATTTGGGAGGGGGGATTTCATCGTGGGGTAGAAGACCAGACACACCACAATTCTTTCTCAGAGGGTCAAGGACATGTTTCCCTGCACCTGCAGGGCAAGTGACTGGAGGGATGTCTCCAGTTGGAATGAAGATCTGATTGGGCCACGTGATGGACTGATGAGTGCAGGGGGTGGATCTTTGAATTCTCTTTTGGGAAGGGAAAACCCGGAACTCTCAGATTTGGGTTTTCCCAGATGTGCCAATAGGACAAACTCTAATAAAACGGACCATTGAGGAACTGTTTGTCTCGGAGTTGATTGGTTTGGAGTTGGTTAGTTGGAACGCTGACAACTGGTTTCCTTTGCCCTTAGCAACCAGTCAGTCCGTCAGTCAATCAATCAATCAGCCAACCGATCCGTGATTTTCTCTTCCTTTCAGCTCCACGGAAGTAGATGACATGATTCGGAAATCGACCAATTTGTTGTTGACTCGGACCCTGAGCAGCTGCTTCCAGAACGCCATTCGGAAGAAGAACATCGGCCTGACCGAGGCAAGGACTCCCTTCTGGGTTGGGGCAGGTTGTAGTGGTTTGGGACCCCCCCTCACTGCTCAGGGCCTCGTTGTAGATACTCCGAGCCTCCTCTTGAAGGGAGGAAGAAGGCAGAAAAAGGAAGCGGAGGGAGCGTGTAAGGATCCTCTCTTCTTGGTTGAATTGTCTGTGAGAAGCCTTCTCCAGATTTTCCTCCTCCAGCAGTAAGTATTTCTCAACTTCGGCCATTTTAAGATGAGTGGACTTCAGAATTCCCCAGCCAGGAATTCTGGGACTTGAAGTCCACTCATCTTAAAATGGCCGAAGTTGAGAAATACTGCCCGAGAGCTTTGCTGTTATGAATCAGGCAGACTTAGGTCCAACACAGGTCCACGTTCTCCTTGGTTTTCCTTGAAGCACCTCTTGTCCAGTTGTGTCTAGCATGAAGGTGTTTCAGCGTGTTGTAGACCAGGGGTTCCAACACTGAAACTGTGTTGTGTGCAAGGGACGGGGTGGCTCAGTGGCTAAGACGCTGAGCTTGTCAAATCAGAAAGATCGGCAGTTTGGTGGCTTGAATCCCTAGTGCCGTGTAACGGACTGAGCTTCCTTTACTCATCCCGGCATCTGCCAACCTAGCAGTTCGAAAGCGCGTAAAAAACGCAAGTAGAAAAATAGGGACCCCTTTGGTGGGAAGGTCACAGCATTCCATGCGCCTTCGGCATTTAGTCATGCCGGCCACATGACCACGGAGACGTCTTCGGACAGCGCTGGCTCTTCGGCTTTGAAACGGAGATGAGCACCGCCCCCTAGAGCCAGAAACGACTAGCACGTAAGTGCAACGGGAACCATTACCTTTAGGGTGCCAGTGGGCCACAGACTGGTGCCGGTTCACTTTCTGTTGGCAACTGGGCTGTACAAGTGTCAGGCAGGTGTGCGAAGCTTCATCTACGCGTGTACGGGAGCTAGGTTGCGTGGGAGAACCCTTCCCCCATCGTCCCCCCGCAGCTGCTCTGTAGAGCCATAGAGGTTGGGAACTGCTGTTGTAGACCATTGTCTACTTCTCACCTCTGCCACAACCGAAACCCCTGCCATAACCAGGAAGGGAGGGACAGTGGGAGCTGTCGAACGTTGAGGGTCCCACTTCTCCAGCTTGATATTTTAGGGAGGAGCTGGTGGACATGATAGTGTTTGTGGCACTGGCATGTCGTTTTTTAGAGAAAGAATAATGGATGACATTCAATTTATGATGTGGCGAAAAGGATCTGTGGCCCAGCCTGGTGAAGTGGGGAAATCCCCGGCTTCTCTTTGCTGTCCTTGAAAGACCCAGGGCCTCCTCTGTCTGACAGGTGACGGAGAATCCCCTCCCCACAATTTAATTGCAGCCCGGGCGTCTGCAGATTTTTCTGCCGAGAGGAGCTGTCACTCCAGCTTCTGCCCCTGTTGACCGAGGGCGTCAGTTCCTTTCTTGTGGTTTTTTTTTTTTTTTTTTGCAACCGGTTTGTCTTGAATAGGATCGGAGGTACAACGAGACAAGTTAAATGGGGAAAATTCTTCGGAGGTTTTATTCTACCTCCAGCAGAATAGCCCCCACCCCTGGTGAAAATACCAACTCAAGAGAGAATATGAATAGAATAGAATTCTTTATTGGCCAAGTGTGATGGGACACACAAGGAATTTGTCTTAGTGCAAATGCTCTCAATGTACATAAAAGAAAAGATACATTAGTCAAGAGTCAAGAATCATCAGGTACAACACTTTATGGTATTCATAGGGTAGAATAAGCAATCAAATCATTCTAGGAAACAGTCAATAGAATATAATAGAATGAGAATAGAATGGAACAGAACAGAACAGAATAGAATTCTTTATTGGCCAAGTGTGATTGGACACACAAGGAATTTGTCTTGGTGCAGATGCTCTCAGTGTACATAAAAAGAAAAGATACATTCATCAAGGTTCAAAGTCATAAGGTACAACACTTAATAATAGTCATAGAGGGTACAATAAGCAATGGAATCATACTAGGAAACAGTCAATATAAATTGTTAGGCTACAAGCCCCAAAGTTACAGTCATACAGTCACAAGTGGGAGGAGATGGGTGATGAGGAGTGATGAGAAGATTTAACAGTCATAGTAGTGCAGACTTTGTAAATAGTTGGACAGTGTTGAGAGAATTATTTGTTTAGCAGAGTGGTGGCTTTCGGGAAAAAACTCCTCTTGTGTCTAGTTGTTCTGGTGTGCAGTGCCCTATAGCGTCATTTTGAGGGTAGGAGTTGAAACAGTTGATGTCCGGGATGTGAGGGGTCTATAGATATTTTCATAGCCCTCTTTTTGACTCGTGCAGTATACATACAGGTCTTTGATGGAAGGCAGTCCTAATTATCCTCTGAAGTCTGTGTGTGTCTTGTTGGGTTGCAGAGCCAAACCAGACAGTTATAGAGGTGAGATGACAGACTCAATAATTCCTCTGTAGAACTGGATCAGAAACTCCTTGGGCAGTTTGAGGTTTCTAAGTTGGTGCGGAAAGAACATTCTTTGTTGTGCTTTTTTGATGATGTTTTTGATGTTAGGTATCCATTTTAGGTCATCTGATATGATAGAACCTAGAAATTTGAAAGTCTCTACTGTTGATACTGTGTTGTCTAGTATTGTAAGAGGTGGTAATATGGGAAGAGTTTCTTCTAAAATCTACCACCATTTCTACGGTTTGGAGTGTGCTCAGTTCCAGATTGTTCCGGTTGCACCACGAGGCATCACCTTGGAGGAAAATGGGAGTCCGTTTCTGCTTAGGGGCCACCTCCGAGGGGCAGCGTAGCTCTTACCTGTTGCTCCGACTTCCTGCAGCCCAACTGTGGCTGATGGTTCTTAACAATGTGTGTTGCTCCTGCAGCTGGTGCAGATAATTATCAACACTACACATTTGGAAAGATCCTGCCGATTCCTAGAAGAATTCATAACCAACATCACCAACGTTCTCCCAGAAACCGTTCACACGACGAAGCTTTATGGAACGGCCACTTTCAAGGTGAGCCCGAGCTTTGGTCTTCATTCCCATTTTCCTCTCCTAGGCCTACCTGCCTACCTGTCTGTGATCAGTCAACAACCCCGAACATTGCTCAGCTGTCCTCATCCAAACATGGAAAGCAGCCAGGAGACAGTAGAAGACAGACGTTTGAAGAAGGGTTTGTGGGGAGAGACCGTCCACGGTTCACGGGGATATTTTGCAGAAAAAAAATTGGAGAGGAAAATGGAGTCTCTGCTCCTCCTGGGTTGGGTTGAGGGTCGTGGAAGCCAGTCAGCAAAGGTCTTCAGAAGTGTGCAAGGGCAGAGAAGGAAAGCGGCTCCCCACAGGTGTGCAAGGAACGAACTGCACTCTCGGGAACAGAAACTTTGCATTCTGTGTAGGTTCGATGCAGTGCAATACTTACGGTATTCTGCTTTGCTGGGGATCAGTGGGCATAGGGTGGGTGGATGGACCGATGGACGTATAGAATAGAATAGAATGCAGAAGAGAAGAGAGAAGAGAATGCAGAATAGAATAGAAACTAGAACAGAACGGAACGGAATGATGGATAGATGGATGGATGTATAGGATAGAATAGAATGAAACATAGAATAGAATAGAATAGAATAGAATAGAATAGAATAGAATAGAATAGAATAGAATAGAATAGAATAGAATAGAATAGAATAGAAAATAGAACAGAATAGAATGGAATGATGGATGGACATATAGAATAGAATGCAGAATAGAAGAGAATAGAGAATAGAATACAAAATAGAACAGAACAGAACGGAATGATGGATGATGGACATATAGAATAGAATAGAATGCAACATAGAAGAGAATAGAGAATAGAATAGAAAATTAAACAGAATAGAATGGAATGATGGATGAATAGAATAGAGAAGAGAAGTGAATACAGAAGAGAATAGAAAATAGAACAGAACAAAATAGAATGACGGATGGACGGATGGACGTATAGAATAGAAAATAAAACAGAATAGAATGGAATGATGGATGTATAGAATAGAATAGAGAATAGAATAGAATAGAGAAGAAAATACAGAAGAGAATAGAAAATAGAACAGGCAAAATAGAATGATGGATGGATGGATGGACGTATAGAATAGAAAATAGAACAGAACAGAATGGAATAAAATAGAATAGAATATAGAGTAGAATTCAGAATAGAATAGAATATAAAATAGAATGTATAATATAATAAATGGAACGGGACAGAAGAGAGTTACAGAACAGAACAGAACATTTGGCCAAGGGTGATGAAACGCACAAGGGATTTGCCTCGTGTGCAGATGCTCTCAGTGGGCGCGCACAGCAACCGAAGCCTCATCCCAATAAAGAAGTGAAGAAGACGAGCTTAAGTCGTAGTACTGCAGCCATGCCCTGTGGGTGAAGAGGCATGGGAGACGTGGGCATTAGGCAGCACTGGGGACGGGGAGCATGTTTCTTGCTGCCTCTGTCCCCGTAGATTGGCCCTTGTGCAGTCACGATGCTCAAATGTCCTCATGCGCTGTAGAGTCCCTGCTGTCCTTGGGGAGGCAGTTATTGCAGGAGCCGCTTGAAGTGTAGATAAGTGGCCCAAAGAGGATTAGTTTGACATCCGGGGCCATGAGCCCCACCCCTCACCTCCCCCCCCCAAGAGCAGGATTCGGGGTGCCGCCACGAGCTCTCTGCTGACCTGGCCCTTCTCCACAGGACGGCCGCCACGCTGCAGAGGAGGAGATCTACACTAACTTGAACCAAAAGATTGACCAGTTCTTGCAACTTGCAGATTATGACTGGATGGCCGCGGAAGCCCCTCCCAAGGCCAGTGACTACCTGGTGGACCTCATTGCTTTCTTACGCAGCACCTTTGCTGTCTTCACACACCTGCCTGTAAGTCTGGCTTGGGAGGTGAGGGCTGGGGGGGGGGGCGAAGCCGAGGGTCGGCCTGACCTCCGGGCTGGTTAGAAGGCCAAGCTGAAGGTTCAGCTCTTCCTTCCACCCGACTTTCCTTCGGTTGTCCATCAAGCCTCAACTGCCCAGGAGGCTTTGGAGGAAACAGAGGCAGATCCTCCCTTTCTCCGGTCCTCTTGGCCCCCTCCATTTCTCGGCCCTCTGGGTCAGAAATGGGGGGTGGGGAGATCAGTGGGATTGACCTGAAAAAAACCTCCGGATGCAGCTCAGAATGGGAGATCTCCTTGTTTGCAGCTGAATCGTGTTTTTTTTTTGTGCCGTTCTGACCGGGCCAATCATTGTAAAGCCATGCACGTCAAAACGCTGAGTGTGGCCGAGCATGAAGGGATCGTGGCAGGAGCAGGATCCAGTCCCTAGTGGGTGCCGGACACAGACGTTCTTGAGCGGGTTAGAGTGACCGTTTTCAGACTGCCCGATGGAGGGATTCTTTGGAGGATCTGGCCAGCTTTCTGATCCTCCCTGGGGTTTCCTTACAGGAGCTGAGCGTGAAGCAGAGGTTATGCCAGGTTGGAGTGCCGGTGGGATAGTTGCCTTAGGAAAGAGAGAGGGAG